AGCTTTTGATCTAATCTCCTGTTCTATCCAAGGAATGATAGACTGTAATAGCGAATAAAATATACATCGAGGCTGAACATATTAGCCTTTAGGCAGTATCCCAGAGACCGTTATGTTTTTTATTCAAGTCCTTTTTTAGAATTTTAGTATAATTTTTAATTTCAATACATATTACAGTAACTAACTTTTTATGTGCCCTGGGCATGATTTTTTGTCTTTCCCATCTTCTTGAAAAAATTAAAATAAAAAGCAAATATGATAGGAATGATCGGTTAATTTTTAATTTTAATGTGAAATGTTACCATTTCGGCCCCAAGGCAGCAAAATTTAAAACTTGAAAATGAAAAATACTCTTTATTTTTCTGACATCTTATTTCAGGGTCCCTTTCGTCCTTATTTGGACCCTGTACCTATGCACACGTTGTACCTTCCTACTTACAACAGTAATGACGCAAAGTCCATTTTATGTTAAAAAAAACTGTAATTTTTTCTCTTTCGAATTTTCGTCGTTTGATTTAGCGGGTTACACGAACGACTGCGAAGTTAGTGGCTGAAGGATTTCTCTTCCTCGACCACAATTTAAATAAAGACGAAGTTTCAAGCCTTAACTTAACATTTACCTGAAAGGTTTTCCTTGTAAGTAAAAGAAAAATTTACATCATTTTTCTTCCAATCGATTTAAACATTGGCAGGCGTTAGTACTAGTGATGAACGACACCTATCCAATGATGTTAGCTAGCATCTCTCTGAAAATCTATTTCCACCATTTATTGATCTAATGATTGGACTGCAATTTAAAAAAATTGTACATCTATAAATTCCCACTCTCGTTCGTCTGGCTGTTTATCTGCTCTTCCTTAATCTCGAGAATAGAGTTAGATCAGGGGTGGCCAATAGTTTTTGCCCCCGGGCCGAATTGGAAAGAAAACTTTTTTCACGGGCCGAACCAGAGGCTGCCCCAGGAAGATTTTGAGGTGGTGCGAGATCTCATTGGGGTGTCACCCCATAAAGACTAAATTGCACATAGAGATTACAGATACATTTTTCACATTATCATGCATTATAAACAGTCTACGCTGTACTTAAGAGATTTGTAATGGAGCGTTAACTCTAAACGCACAGTGAGTTGTTGACCTTTTTTAATTTTTATTTTTTTATTAATTTTTTTCTAGGCGTCAGAAATTTTCGTCAAGCTATTCGGACTTGAGTAACTTTTTTTTTTTTTTTTTGTAAAAGTTGGCAGTTAATGAGACACTCTCTTCCCGCTCAAAGAGCACTAAGAGAGTAACTAATATTAAAAGATTAATCGCGGGCGTATATTGGCCATGTCTGAGTTTGATAGATGAAAGACGAGACTAAACATAGAAACCTTAGAAGCAGAAGGCCCCGATTAACTATATAAGAATTTCTGATACAAACCGAAAGTCACATTATTTTAATTAAAACCTTTTCCCGTGAAAAGAGTTAAAGAGATGCCTGACACAACTCTGTTGTTAACAGGAAAAGTATGATGTACAGGGGCAGCCATTACAAATTTGAGGTGGAGAGTATATATTTTAAATTAAATAAACTTTTTTAAAAATCTTAAAATTGCGATGTCGCAATAAATAATTGCTCGTTGGAAGACAGCTTTCTGTACTCTGTTATCAAGACAATACGTAAATATGTTTTGATTAAATTTGCACTTTTTAATTCTTAATGGACCATTTCAATTAATTTGAGTTAATATTTCATTTGTTAATACACAAATCAGTAAACGAGTTCAATATATATATCGTTTACATTTATTTTGCTCTGTCATTTTACTGTATCCGAGTTATATTTCCGTTGTAAATATGTATTTTTTTCTCAGTTTTTAAGATAATATATAAAATAAGTTTTCCACGCATTTGCATTTATTTATTTATTTGTTGTTAATTAATTTATTCTATTGAAACTCCTACGTAAATACATGAATTTTGTATAATATTTATCTCGTATTTACTTGAATGTAATCTGCTAAATAATTTCGTATGAATTATTTTTATTAAATTAACTTTAAATGACTAAAAAGTAACTTTATTAACTAACTTAAAACTGACTAAAATTAACTTAAATTAACTAAAAATCTGTTAAATAATTTCTAACTTTGTATATTTTACTATCATAGCACCGTGCTGTACAGAACTAAGACTTCATATCAATTAAATAAACCGAAACTGCTTTTCATTTCATGAAAATTGCTCCAACTTTGTTTTCTTTAACGAACAATAAGATAACATCTGTTTTTGAAATAAAAATTAATCTGAATAATTGAACAATATGCTTTATTAAATTACTATATATTTAATAAATTAAATATATTAATTTAAATAGATAATTCATTATGTAATTGAATAAATTTAAGCTTTGTTTTCGTTAATAAGTTAATTAAATTATTGTTTAAATTTAATATTGTAATTACGACTAATATTTTTAAAATCTCAAGTAATATTAAATGTAATTCAATAAATTACATATCTCTTCAATGAAAACTGAAAATGATACAGTGGTCAACTATCAAATTTTTTTTAGTTTAGTGCGTTTCCATTATATTTACAATTTAAAAAGTCAGACAAATGAAATGAAATATCTTGTGATAGTAATTAAAGTAGACTTATCCAACGTTGTGTAAACAAATATTTAGCAGTCCAAATTCATTGTTTAAGATTCGGATTAAGATTCAGCAGGCCTTTGAATCTTAAATCTGTGTGAGGACACATAAAGTTTGTGGTTTATCGAGGTTATGTTGCAAATATAGCAGCCTCGAAAGACAGTATCACAAAGCATCACAGAGGATCAATTACGGTCTGCCGTTGAACAGACTGTTCATCGCCTTTAGATTTTACACCTTCAGAATGAAAACTATAATGAGTAGTATTGTCTGCATTGCTAACGTCTCTATATAAGTGTTTTATACAAACAAAACGTTTGTTAATTGCAGCAATCCAAGTATCAGTGAGAGTTTCAGTACTAAATTTTTAAAGAAAGGTCTTCTGCACGTCCTGAGAAGTCACGATACCAGATTTGGTTACATTGACGCTAAATGTGTTTCTAGACACTATTGAATAGTAGTACTTTAATTACGATTATTTATTGTGTATAATTTTATTTACGTGAAATGTCAATATACGACAATAGACTTTTTTCCCACGATGAGGATCTTTATTTTTAAGAAACCTGATAAACCGATTAAATTCACACTTATGTGCATGCAAAGCACAAAGTTAATCTATTAGTAGTTTAAATAGCAGTAGTAATTTAACTCAATCGTTTAATGCAATTAATAAGATTTGATTGGACAGACGAAATAAAACAATGTAACATGAGTAAACTTACATGAGCTAAAGAGGATGTGTTTTCTGAAAGGATTTCTATGGGAGATCGATTCTTATTTAGTTGCTAAATATGTAAAAAATCTAGAAAACTATACGAGTAACCGTTAATCAAGCGCGAACCTACGACTGGTAGGGTTTTGACCAACGGTTTTGCGCTTGATTACCACTATTCAGTGGTTTTATTCATTTTTCTACTAGTGGGTTAAAATTTATCAGCAATCTAATCGTGCCACAGTTAAGTTTAAAAGAATTTAGTAAACAACTTTAATATATTTATTTAAAAATAAATTCAAATCTCTTAATCTGAATAAATAAATAAATTTTTGTTGAACAAACGATGCCCGGAGAGCAAATCAAATATCAAATCTCAACTTATTTACTAAACTTAAAAAATTATTATATATTATACCTGTATGAATGCACAGTACTATAAATAAATTTTATTGAATCAGCACGTTATTCATTAATTCAAATTGAGAACCTTAATTCAGGAACTGAATTAATTTTGAAAGGTTGAAACGTTGAAATTTCTGTAAATTATATTCACACAATAAAATTATTATTATTGATTCAATTTACTCAAACGTTAAAACATAAATACAGTAGTTAATCAAAAAATTTAGTTTTATAAAATAAAAAAATATAATTATATAAAAACGAAGACATACACATAATTTATTTCTTAATTTTAGCGTAAGATCACAAATGGAACTTTTAAGCGTAAACTGTTATTAACATTGTAATCTTTCAAATATGTTTACTTTATTTCTTCAATAATAATTTTAAATTTTAGAAGATTGTTTGAATAACCTCAAAAAATCATGCAGCTGTAATTTGCATAATATTGTTTCGTTTCTTTGACCTTTAATTTTGCATCCAATCATCTCATGCCTAATTATATATTTTAATACTTCATATTTAACAGAGGATTATCGATATTCCAAAAAAAAATATTATTCTCTACATCTAATTTTTTAAATTCTTACTTAATTTCACTGCATAATTCGATGACGTTTTATATATTCTATGAAGAATTATCTATCTATCTGCATCTATGTATATATCGCCGGCTCTATTCGAACCGTCCTTATTGGTGAAACGTTCGTTTATGTGGCAATTATGTTCAAATTCAAATCGCTCTTAGAACAAACCTTTTAAATTTTATTTGTTAAATAATTAGTCGTGAAAGTTATTATAATGTCTGAATTTTAATTTAATTTCATTTAAGAAAATTATTTAATTAAATAAGTTAAAAAAAATCTTAAAAACTTTCTAAATGTACTATTAAATAAAATTTCTTGCATTTTACGTATAGTAATTTTTTATATTGCTAATAGTAATAGTGATTTTAATTTAAATTTAATAGTAATAATTAGTAATTTTTGAACTACTGAACGAAAGAAAAAATAAACAGAATTTAGAACACGTGTGTTAGAATACGTGTGTGTTCAAAATTCAATAAACGAAAATAAACAGAATTTCAATAAACAAAAATAAACAGAATTTAGAACACGTGTGTGTTCTAACACACGTGTTCTAAATTCTGTTTATTTTTCCTTTCATTCATCGGTTTTAATAAGTAAAATTGTCAGGAGAATAAGATAAAAAGTAACGCTAGAAACTAATAATATATATATATATATGTAAATATTTTATGTAAGTTCGAGGAGGAAATGTCTTTAACTATATGAAGTTCCTTTGTCTCGTCCTACTATATTCGAGGTCTTTCACGTGGTCCGTTCTTTCTGACTTCCCAGAAGCTTCTGACCTTATTTTCTATTGTTCCACGTCACTCCTTTTGTTTCAAGCGCCTCCGGCTTTGGAGGGCCAATCACACCTTTACATCCCCCCGCTTTGTAGATCTAAGATTGGGTTGTTGTATAAACGTAACTTGGATATATGGACGACGTCTGACGGTTTTCCCCTTTTTCCCCATTCTATTTCATATAGTACATTTGATACTTGTCTCATTACTTTATATGGGCCAGACATTAGGGGTTCTAATTTTTTCCGCGTGATTGCATTTTTATTTTCGACCAGTACTAGGTCCCCTGGGTTTAACGTTACCTTCTGGTGTCTATTATCGAAATAATTTTTATTCACCTCCTGCTTTCTTTGAGTATTTTCGCAAGCCAATTTCCTAGCTTCTTCTACTGGCGGGAGAGTATTCGGCATGACTTGGGGAAACGGTGGGACGCCGAACATGAGATATTTTGGTGAAAAACCCGTTACCGAGTGAGGGGAGTTGTTGTATTCTTCCGTTACCATTTTCAGCAGTTTACTCCAACAACTGACCCTGTTGCTTTCGTTCATCTTGCAGCGCAACCGGGTTACGATGGTTTGGTTAACCCTTTCACATAAGCCATTACTTGCTGGATAATTAGGAGATATGAATGTTAATTTTATTTTTTGTTTTCCTAGAAAACGCATGAATTCTTTTGAGTTAATTCCTGCATATCTGTCTGCTAGTATCATTTTCGGCCTTTGTATTTGTGTAACGCTGTTTATTAAGTTCACGAAGTCTTTGGCAGTTTGAGTTTTGGAGCTCAGTGTCCATAAATACCGAGTGGCGAAGTCGATCGCCAGGTGCAAATATTGTTTTTTTGAGTTGTATCCTTTAAATC